TGGATGACAAGTAACGCGATTTACCTGAGCGAATAAGCCGACGGTTGAGTCACCGGATCGCCGGAGAGGTTTCTTCACTGTCGCGTCCTCGCCGCGTCCTCGTCGTCAGCGTTGTTTGTCGTCGGGTCATGTCATGTCGCTTTGGCGATCGCCGCGACCGTGACGAACGAACATTCACTCGGCTGCGGGTGCGGGTGCCCGAGGCAAATGAGTTTTTCTCCTCACCGCGCGGCACTGTCTCGGCGGGCGACGACTACCGTATTTCGAAGGACGGCTCCACCGAACCGCTACTTTTCCGTCCGCCGCAAGCAAGAACATAATTAGTGCCGTATCGACACCGGCCGCCAGCTTGTCCGCCTCGCGACGACTGTCCCTCATGAAGTTGAACCACTCGGCACTCGGCAAATGAGTAACGCGCCGGCGGCAGCGGCAACGACCGCGTCTAGAGACTTGTTCCGAATGACGCGTCCACCAGAGTGAAGCGCTTCGAGTCAGTCGTTCGTCGTCCGAACCGAATCGAGACCGTTTAATCGAACGTTTCCTGCTCCTCGCCACTCCACCACTCATGTTCACTCGTTTGGTCGTCGGTCGCGTTTGAAAAAAATCACCCACCATGGCCACTTGCAACGGTCAGCAGCACACCGGAAGCGTTTCGACAGAATACGCTTATTGATCTGCCTGTTTGTGGCGGTTTACTTCCTGGTAGCAGCTGTAGATGTGCACCAGGCAAATGACCAACTAGTAACAGTATCGGCGATCTCCGCAGACCTAATGCAAGCAAATGTGTGTAGCGAAATACATGAAAATGCATGCCTTCAGTTTATGGGACAGAATGAAGGAGAAAAGCCTTATCATACATCGCATGACTCGCCCCTTCCCCAAGACCAGATTTCACGACGCATTGCGCAGTTTTGTAGCATCTAAACGCCCAGGTCTGGGGAGAGTGGCATTTAAGCAAGCCGCGGCTCTATGGCACTGGAGCACCTGCAGTGTCTGATGTATCTTGTGTCATTTTGTTCGTTATAGCCACCTCGAGCTCATCAGTAAAGAAGTTTCAGGATTTTTTACTCCTTATATGTTAAGGATATGCACTTCATAAGATGTTTGCACCTCGCACTATTCAAATAACCCATGATTCCTCCAAGGAAGATGAACATCATCCACCATTCTAATTCACGAATTTTGTCACTGTTTATCGTTACATAACGATGTCAACAATAAAATGTGCAGTTTGTGGTACGTCAAACGGAAAAATTTCGCAGAACATCACCGAGTTGAAATTCAGGGCTGCTTAATGCGCAATGATTTATATACGGTATGATAAAGTCTTAGAAATCGAGGAAATCTTGTCCAACGCTTAGAGTTGTGTAAGTTGAGTGATCACCACTATAAGCCGTTTGTATAATCAAACCGTATCTGGTTTGTGACGTACGCTGCATTTGCAGCTTTTCAACAGTTTTGATACAAGGCGCTACGTACTGCATCCTAGAAGGTGGTATTCCATTCCAAGAGCACATCTGTCTCCATCTTATACTCCATGTTGCATCGTGGCCCCTTGGTTATCATCTACAGTGTTTCGGCTCTAACACAAGAGACTAATGCGTTCAGTCAGTTTATCAATCGAGGCCAGTCTCTTTTCGCTGATGTCCACATCTGATGAGGCCATCTGTGATTGGAAGAGAATAGTGATTCCTTATGTGGTCATCATTTAACCCATATCATACATCGAAGCGAACGCTGTTGTATGCAGTTCAACCGTCATTCTAGCTCCTTCGTTAGAACAGCTGTTTCCGTGTTGTACAACAACACTGACTAGCAGACGCGAGATATAGGCGGATTTTTGCGGAAAGACACTTCTTTTAGAGCCCAGCTGCACAGTAAACCGAAAGCGTTACAAGCTAGGACGAGCCTTCCGTTAATTGTGATTTGTTGATATCACATCATAGATGAAAGAACGGCATGATAAAACTTGTCAACTTCGTCTATTTCATTTCATATCTCCGTTCTTCTAATAAGCCAGCTGGGTCTGAGGATTCCTCAACACACTGGGCAGACGCCCGCTTTCGCAACCTTCGCGTTGCAAACGAAAACCACACAATGACCAAGCCCACTCACCGTACGACTTCCAAGGGCAGTATAATCGATTACTGCAGACGAGCAAGAAACGTACCCGGATGTTTTGAATTACGCCTTTCCTCTAGAATGAGACTTTTGTATTTGAAGGAGTTAGCAGCGTTGCGGTGAATTAAGTGTAGAACAAGGTTAAAGAGCAAAGGCGAAAACACTATCAGTTTTGAGCTTCGCAGTTAAGAGGGAGGCACGTAAATGGCACTACTTCGAATTTACCAGGAAATATGGTTCCTGCATACACCTCTTACAAAATAGCTGTAATGTGCTGAGGTGAATCATAGCTTTGCAAAAGTTTCTGCATCATTCTGCGGTGTATCGAATCAAACGTAGCTTTACAGTCGAGGGAGTATTGTACGTCGATCAAATGGGGAGTGAAGGTTTTGTAAGGGCAGGAATACTTCTTCCGAAAGTCTAACCAACGTTGGCGAAGTCTAAAGCCAACTTCCTACATCGGACCTTAGAGCATATTTAGGTGAAGAGTTTTCCTGAAGTTGACACTAGTGTTAATACCAAAATATTTGCAATACTAGGTCGCTTGAACCATTTTAACTATGGGAATAATCACTCCGCACATCCATCTTGCAGGGAACATTTTGAGAACAGAAATTACAGAATTGACAATACATAGAGTATGTCCTGTTTTCTCAGGGTCTATAAATTCAGTCTCGACGGGTAAGTCACCTGACAAAAAATGGAAACCTGAATTGCGCACCATTGCTTAGCATGGTGGTACGTGTTCTTTGTAACCTTCGCGACAATAATGAAAGCGTTTTATGAACCCATGATCAGCTAATCCATGTTTTCGAGATAATGGGCACATTTACATCTGCTCTGAAGTCATAGCTGCCTAATTGGGGATAGTCTGACCGTGAAACTAAAGCATGAAATCTCAATAAATGGTCAATGTCCACGTAGAGGAGCACATGATTAAATAATTCTATCAAGTATTTTAATCTGCAATTAAACGACGATGTTCTTAAGTATATAAATTGAATTTTTCATCAACAGACGAAGCCATAAAATGGTTTGCTGCTGCTTACCGTTACATAAAGCCACCGATAAAAATCTGTTTCTTATACGTCGAAAACAGCGCAATGGGTCATAGGATGTTGCTTTGTAGTAACATGTATTTCTTACTGAGTACAGATCTGCTCAAGTCGCTCTCCTTCCGACTGCATGCGATCCACTAAAAATGATGATTCATTTTCGTCTTCTTTGTTTTCTATAAAAATGGCTAAATGAAGAGGGAAATCTAAAATGTGACGACCAATTTTCCATTGTAATCCTGTCTCCAATCTCAGTTTCTTCTCGGAATTTCTAGGCTCTGCAGGGTAGCGTTACTGAAATGGTTGCTTTCTGAATATGTTGATTCATGAATAGTGCAAAACACAAGACAGCCACCTTTTTGCAATAAAACAGAACAAAAAAGGTTTTATCACGCACAACGCATTATACTCTTCATCGAGTGATGGGCCTACATCGACCTCTAGACTCTCGTCTCATGGGTGCTTTTCAAGGTGATGAAGATTATAGATTTTGATTGCTGTGGACGACGTCAGCAGCAGAAAGTTCGTTTGGAACCGAGAACCAATATGACTACCGACGCATAATAAACATTCATAATTTGAGAAAACAGAACTCATTCTATAGAGACAACGTGTAAAGGGATTCTGGTGAAATCGAAGGAGTTTTTCCTACTTTTTGCTAATCTGCTCTTCGCTTCAGAGGCTGAAACGATCCTTATATTCAAATCCTGCTCCCTGCATGCTCTGTTGTTTGAACTGACTGGATTGATGTACACAGTCTATGGTATTGCTGTCGTATGCCAATTGTGAGCTAAGTGGATTAATCATGACTACTGACTTCTCATGATTAAATTGGAGTGCAAATTTTCTCTATTATCGCATTTTAATGTTAGTGGCATACAATGTACATGGTCCCCTTAAAATAATTCACCAAATCACATGACATTCGATACAGATAAGGATATGTTCAACTGCGATTTCTCCTTATGAAGTTCCGGAGAGTAAAATTTTTAAGCCTCCTTTAGACTAA